TTATCACGTCTCGAGAAGGAGAGTAAATACTCTAGTAAACTCTTACATACTGGAGATTTGCCTAAACCGAGAAATAGCTATGATTCAGCAGCAGGTATGTTACGCATTGGTACGAATAAGTCAACTTACAATATTAACACTGTGCATTTCTTGTATTTAGAGACTCAACCTCTTTTTGAATAAACTTGTAATTTAATGGGCCTATTTACAAAAAGTTCGAATTATATGATGTGCTTCCACATGTGCCGATATGGTTGAGTTAACGAAATAAACTTGTGCATGTTACTGTAACTTGCCTTTGCTGGATATTGACAATCTAAAAAATATGATACGCTATTTATTAAACAGTAAATCTTGAGACAAATGTTTAAAATTGGTAATGAGTTTGGTGCTAATAAAACGTAGCAACATTCGAGCTCGCTTCAAAGCATTCTAGCATCGGTTGCACGATGTGTGTTTCCTGACATTTGTTTCAGTTCTTTCCGAATGCGTCGTTATTTTATTTGTTCTTGAGATATTATGCGATACTTATTTAATTTTAGAAATGTGTCATAAAGATATATATATATGTAGCTCGAATTCCATCAGCAAACTTAATTTGAACTGTTAATGATAATAATCATTAGATAACGTTTTTATATCCGCGCGCGGAAGATTTATTTCTTCGAAAAATCGAATTACTTCCTTCAAATATTAATTAAGCGGATATACCTATAAATGACTTATTTAAGCTGTAACGTTTACTCTACTAGTCAAAATACGAAATCGAAGTTTATTTTTAGAATAGCCCGTAGTTGGGGAGCCTTTATTGCTTCGAGCATTATATTCTAAAATCCACGCTTAAATATGTTGATGTTCGAAATTCACATTTGAGTTGAACTGCAAAATATGTGGATGTGTTAGCCTTTTCGCATTATACCCAATTTTCATCCACGTACCATGCAAAGGACGAGCTGGATTCGGTCCTACAAAAAACGCATGTTATCCTGATGTCCGTAGGTTCGTCAAAAATATCGCACATTTAACATGCATGCATATTTGCATGTATCATCACACTGGCCCGTAAATCGTTTTCCAAGCATTTCTATCACGTCTCTCGCGTTTCGCAATAATCCTCCATTCATTGCATACCACACTATTTCAGCTGGTCACCTTATATTTATTGTGTATTCGCATGCGTTCTCTTTCTCACGCACCGCCGCTCAGTCATCTTTGTCTATCTCATAACAAATGAAAGAAAAGAAAACAATTACATAATAAAAGAAGAATTTTGCAAGGTATATATGAAAGCAGAAAAGACAAACATGTACAAGAAGGAAGAAAGGTAAGGGAAGAAAATATAACAAAAAAAAAAGTGTATAGGATACAACGCAACGCAATAAATACGCGTGTTAGAAGATCGTAAAAAAAGTGCTCTTTTTTTTTTCTTCTTAATGAAAGTAATTTAGGAGAAGAGAAAAACAAATAGATTTCAATATTATTAACTGACAAGAGAACTCTCACAAGAAATATAGACACAATTAAAACAAAGTGGACCAGCCAAACAAAGAACTTTCAACAAGCCACCTAACGGACACCATCCGTCAAAACCGAAAGAATGTAAAAAATCAATGACAGACGGTCTATCACTGAACTGTTGTAGTCATGTTGATACATATTCCAATCCAACCAAATATTCGCTGCCCCAAGGCATACCCCATCCCTTGATGCCAACCTTCTTCCAACAAATTCGGGGGATGCCGATATCGGCAAGGAACAGTTCACCTGTGACTGTACGCGACTTGCAACCAGTTTTGGGAGCACCGAGGCACAAGGTCCATTTCGGATGGATATGGTGCGCGGCATTTCCTGGAATACCTACAGAGCGGGAATTAACAAGTGAGATAAAACGAGCAGGAAAAAACATTGCGATGGCTCATTGGGGGATGTATCAATGAGAAAAAAAGAGTGAAAAGGTTCATCATACCTGTAGCCCCATTGACACCACTCGGCATATCCAGACTAAGCACTGGGGCCTTGTTAATATTAGCCCATTCCATCAGACTACATATTAACCTTCTATCACTATCATCTGTAATATCTCGCAGAGTGAATTGATATCCGAGAAGGGCATCAACGATAAGATCGACAGGATTCGTGAATTGATGCGGGAGCTCTGAGTGCACGAGAAATAATCTGTGAATAATCGCATATAAATCGTGATAAACGTCATGGAGCCGCTCAGCCAAGTTCCTTTACCTGCAACACTTTTGACTACTCGGCCCCCAGTCGAAAGCAAGATTTTTTGTTGATATGCAACGTTCTGTATAATACGCACAAAGTTGGTTAAATTTATTATTGATTCTTTCGAGAAAGATATATATATATAGAGAGAGTGACGGGATCGTTAGACGATTAAATATTACCTTGAGCAAGTCTTTTTCTTTTCCAACGACGCATGCGACAACATGACAACCATGATTAGCAAGATGACGTGCCGTCGCAAGGCCATAAGAACCAGTCTTGTTATTGCCAACGAGTATCGTAACGAGCGGGGCGGCGTTGTGATTATTTGGTTGTATACGGCGCGAACCACCTTTTTTCGTAGCATATAATAGTCGTTACGGTTATTTTGTCGATCCGGTAATGTTATTTAAACCAGTGCTGAGAACTTGCTACACTTACCAAGCGCTTGCAAAACCATCATGGCCGCACTGCGACCAGCATTTTCGATCATTTGGTCTTCATTTGGACCCGTTTCAATGGCTAGAATTACATTGATATTAAAACTCAATAATGACAAACAACTAGCGTAAATCTCACGACATGGTATTGCAAATCACAGATAACGTACCAGCTATCTTCTCAGCCTCGACCATCTGATATGGTTGAACACTCGGACAAGATACTCCAGTTAAAGTTCTTATTTTTACACTCTTGTGAGAGCTCACACCATTGACCTTTTTCTTTTTGCTCCAAGGATCATCAGAATCCACTTCACCATCATTAGATATTTCGTCTTCGTCGGAATTATAAAAAATCGATTTACGCGCAGACATATCCAACACATTCTCGCTCGCTGATAGTTTCACTTGACCGGAACGATTGCGAAAAGACGTGTAACGAGAATTAGAACGATGATTAATATTTCGGTTTAGATTGACTAGAAGATTTTCCGGTGCCGTCTCGTCCATCTCCTAGGGGAAAAAAAAAGCATATATGGACGTAATTGAATAAGTAACGTCAAGGGAATAACAGCAAGACGTGCTAACGGTCGTTTTGGTCTGCTTACTCTAAGTTCAGCAAAAACAGCTGCTTTATCAAATAAGTCTAGGTTTCCTTGAAAGTCAAATTCTTCAGACTTGAAATCATTTACGTCACCACCTGCCCATTCGTGATTGTGACGACGGTTATTGTAATTGATGCGACGACGTCCGGGGCGTCTTGCTGTATAAAAAAAGACATGTAAAACATAAGATATCTCGTAGAATGGAAGCCTATTTCGCTGCCACATAGTTTGATTACTTACCGGGAGAGCGAGCTTCTCGATTATAATTAGTATTATTATTATTATTAAAAAATCCATTAGTGTTCTATGATAAAAAAAGTGTTAGGTATCGGATGCGATTCTAACAGCATTTCTCCGGCTCATCCATAGATTTTGACCATTACCTTTTTCCGCCTCGAACCCCTTCTATGATTATGCAACGCACCATCAGACTCAAAACCACTCGCTTCTCCTTCATAATGATTTCCATTGGGTGTCGAATTAAAATTAAATAATGCTCCAAGACCATCACGCTCTTTGTCCTCCTCGTTTTTCCAGTCATTATCAGGCGTTGATGACGATTTCGTAAAGTTTGGAGACGCTGCAGAATCTTTCTGCTCTCCTTGTTCGGACGAACGTAGCGAAGGTGTTGTTTGCTATCCCCCGTTTGAAATTAAAGAGTTCCGTGGTTAGTAATAGTTCATTTTTGTCCGTCAATCATTTGCGGTTAACAGCCACTTGCTCTTTTTTTTTTCTTAGCACAAGAACTTGGCCATTCACAAAAGCTTGTGCTGATACGTACTGTGTTGTAAGGGGGTGAAGATCTAAAGATTAAAACAATGTTGTTAGTTTTTTTGGCTCGTAGTAAATGGAAAGCGAATTCTTTACGATAGTTTGCATGTGAACATTACTAACCCTGAGAATAAATACGAGTTAAGGGACATGCTTGAGGGCGCTTGCGAATACTATACGATAAAGAGAGATGAATGTTATTACAATAAAACTCTGATTCAAAAGACAGTTCCCTCCAATAAAATTTAATCAACTTTTTTTTTTTCATCTCAATGCGAGAAGAAACCAACCGAAATAATAGCAGGATCTAAAGGTGGGGATTTATGCAGCAACGTACTCGATTGCTGGGAATTTACTAGTTTGCCGTTATTTTTAGGTGTAGTTGTAATCCCATTAGTGGCTGTATAGACATTCTCAGTTAAGTAAGCGTGAGACCCAGTAACCTGTCCTGGTCTTTGTTGTTGTAGCGATGTTTGATTTGGCGAGGGTAAGATTTCAAGATCTTTTATTTCTGAACCAGCAACAGCATATATTGTACGCTTTTCAGTATTTCCATTGGAGCCGACAGTGACTGCAGCAGCAAACATGGTTGTGAGTATCTTTTCAGTATAAGTTTGAGGTTTCCCGACATGGGGACAAGGCTAATTTCTTTTCACTTATACCAACCATTCTTTAGAGTAAGCAGCCGCGTGTGTTGATCAATATGCGACACTACTCCCTCAACCCAAGTGCCAGAGGCGAGAACAACGTGCAAACCCAGACCAACGAATGTTTCTGCCATTTGACACTAGTCCAGTATTTTTTTTTATTATTGTTTCTTTGGTTGTATAATTTGTTATATGATTGGATGTATTGTATGTCTTGATGCTTATATATCACGAGTCTAGGAAAGAATAGTAAAGGAAAGGAACCCTTGCGAAAAAAAGAACACAATAAAGGAAAAAGCAAATTATAATGCAGTGTGCACAAAAGATCGAGAATATATGGGGCGTGCCGAACATGTGACGTCACTTTGATTATTCGCTTAGCCTAACAGTTACGAAAAATACATTGGAAAGTAATCCAGACGAATGGAGGACTGTTTATAGCGCAAAGGCTTTAAATTATGACGGTTGATAATAGTCAAAAAATTTTTTTATTTTTGCTTTGGGCAAATTGTTAATGTCAATACACAATGCAGCGTTATTATTATCGCAGTTGCACACTTGGCCCAACAATTTTCTTTTGGAAACCACAGTCACGGTCTAGATATTAATACGTGCACAGAAATGACTTGTGAAGAAAAGACGTCACTTTGTACACATTTCAACAAAATAAAAATCCTGGTTATAAAATAAGACAAGAGTTGTACACTTTTGGGGTTCGTAATCTTTACATTTTTATTATTATCACAGCTGTATATATACGAGTGCGATATCGTCTTTCCCGTAATGGCGTTTACCATCACCCTCGATTTCAGTGGCTATCCAATAATGAATCCAAGTATTCGCGCGCTTAAACTACTCTCTATACGATGTACTTCCTAATAGTATCCAAATAACTTTCGATTGATATTTGACTAGCCCGTGCTTGATACGAAGGTTTTATCAGTCGATCTAATTGATTGTCACAAAAGTGAATCGATTTCACATTACAAAAGGTTTGTATTATCTAACAAACATCAATTCGGTGAATTTGTCGATGGAATTTATGTCTTTTTCACGGTCGATAATGCTCTGTTGTTTCCCTTTCATGCTTGTGCAGTGTCAGATTTTACAAGATCAGAAAAGTGGGTTACGGCCATACGCAGTATTTACCATGTGGCTTACATCGGCAAAATATATATTAATATTCACGTGTAAATTGCATTACACCCTGTCGCGACATTTGACACACAACTACCATATGATGGTGCGTCGGTTCGATATTCGTACATGTTTATCAACGCGTTCTTCACAATGTTTTTTCCTATTAGGTCAGATAACAGTATGATATCTTAATTCTAAAAATATTAAATTTGCCATCTATCAAGCGAATTACAACCAATATTAGTCTCCCTGTATTAGTACTAGTATTCAGCACACCAAAGAAAAAACATTAAGATGTCAAAGTGCTACGATTACTTGGGTATTATAAAATTTCAATCGTTATTTTCCTTATGATTAGATGGTCTTATTTGTAGTCTATAGAATATTGTATGAGGAAAGTCTTGTAGTTATTAAAGGAACATACACTATCTAGACTGTTGGATAACAGTAGCTTGATTTGTCAGTCTAGTGCTAATATTTACGTATTTTATTTTACCAAGTGTTTGAGATACATTATAGTTATGGCCAGGGTAAAAATCACGGAATTTAAGAGGTCGCGAAAGCAAAAAGGCAAAGACTATTATTGAATTAAACAACTCTAACTGGAGTCGGGAGTATGGAGTTACCAAACAAAAATTATGCATAACATTTAGCGCACAAGTGATTGTACTGCAATTATCGTGGTATCCAAAAAATTTTGTAGTAATAACATAATAATTACGAAAATAATGTCGTTACAAGATACTATCAATGTTGAAAAAAGATTCAATAATAATAAAATCTACATCCAGATAGCAAAACCATGTCTCGGGTTTTGGGCCGTAAAAAACTTGCGTAATTAACGTAACAAACGCGGCTTTTATTTGCAAAGTAATGGTCTACGATATTTGTTTGACTCGACAGCCAACATTTTTTCATATTATAATTGCGTTTTTGTTTGATTTCATACTCTTCAACAAAGCTCTTCCTGAAAAGTTTGAGAACTTGAAACAAACATTTCTTTTGTGCAAAGACCAGTATATGCAGTATAGCGACTTTTATGATATTAAACAGATTGGATCTGGCGGTTATGGAACAATCTTACCGCCAGATTCAGAAAAGCTTATGTTGTACTCAAACGTTTTAAGAATTTTCGATGAGATGCCACGAGGTAAGCATTATTTGATATTAAAGTGACATTTGGTGTAACTGTATTTATTATATTTAACAGTTCAGAAACCATGTCAACTGATTTCTTTAAGCTTCATGGAGTCACACAAGACCCAGAAACAAAACAGTACATAATTGTTATGGAATATGCTAACAATGATAGTCTTTCGTCTTACTTGGATCGGATTGACGTGGGGATGAAAGTAGAACGTTTGAAGGATATTACACGCTATCTGCATATTATCCATTATGTGGAATTAGCACATTGTGATCTTCATGGAGGAAATATTATTTTGCATGAATTACGACCATTCATATGCGATCTGGGCCTTTCTCAATCGGCAAAGTCAAATTCGACAATTTGAGGTGTATTGCCTTTTGTTGCACCGGAAGTCTTTTATACTCGCAAATTTACAAAGAAATTAGACATATGTTCTCTTGGTATTTAATTACCACGGGTGTGAACAACCTTTTAGAGATTGAGTGTGCGATATTATTGGCGGATTACGACCATCAATGCCTAATTCAGCACCCCACTCGAAGAATACAAGAAGCTTGCCGAGCGGTGTTGTGATACTGATTCTGATAAGTGTCGTTATGCATTGACACTTTGGGATAATCTTTGCAAACTTAATTCTTACAGCGACATATGGAATACCGTATATCATAATAATGTAAAACCCTTATCGCGTGGATTCAGCTGCAGGTATGAAAACAACAATTGCTTACAATCGGAGTCAATTTACCATATTAACATTATTATTTAATTTTATAACTTAATGACTCGAATCGTATTTGAATAAATTTGTAATTCGCAGTCTATTTACAGTTTATTACCCAAATTAATGTAAGAAATAATAGAGTGTACTATTTATTACAAAGTAATATTGAGGACCAATTACCAAAGTTTAAAAAAAAAGTAGTAACGTGATCTGACGATCAAAGGGTGCTTGATATTAACATTACACATTTGCCTTTAAATCAATACGACGTTTCGTGATGCACTAAAGACAGTCATGACAATATTCTACTAACCGATTAGCGACTTAATCAATGTCATAAGTAACTTTACAATTCAATCAATACTGTTGTTTCACTAAATGATATAGTTGACGCGTTTGTCTAAACACATTGCTTGAAATTAAAAAACGAATTCATTTCAAAGTATTGATCGATATGATTTGCCTTGGCATGTGTCGGGAACTGTACGCTACGCATAATTTATATTCTACATGTGGTGGAAATTGCATTTTTGAAAAGTTCCTAATACTGTACAGAATGGAAGAAGAGTCGTAATCGTCAAGATTCTGGCGTCAATTCCCGACAATCTATTTACTACTTTATATAGGTAGGATTAACAAGTTCCCACGCCTGTCACGAAACTGGTCATGCAAAGTATCCGTGTGCCGAAAGCCGTAATAGTAACGCTAACCAAACAAGGACTTGTTATAAGATTTAGTAGCACACAAAGAATTAAATGGAAATCAGGGTTTTTTATGATTCATTAAGAAATTAATGGAAATATGCGTGTATAGCTTACAAATAAGTACAATAGAAAATGGCAAGATGTAAAAAAATATTTGGATTGGATAGGACAAACTCTGCATCACTAATTTCAATTAATTATCTCTATACCAAAAGTCTCTTGCACGAAAATTAAATACAAATTAATTCTTCTCCCAACATCTATATTAACTCTCTTTTTTGTTATATAACACAAATATAGTTTAGTACACAAGGCTTTGAGGTGTCATTTTAGCCAACCATCAATTATGGAGTATTGTTCATCGGCATGTTTCAGGTCAATATTTTGGTGCATAATTGCGTTGTCGTTCTTCCATCTTCCATTCGTGCCATTTTTTCATCGGCACGACTTTGGGATCAAACACGTCCGTGCCACCATCTCCATGGCCATTGTCAACTCCAGCAATCTTACGAGTAGCACCCCATGAAAAGTCTATGAAAAAAAATTAGATCATCATGTGTGTTAGACGTGCTCTGGCGAAAAAAAAAAACAACTCATGTTCTCTAAGCAACGAATACTTACCATCGAAATGCCAGAACGCATAGACTGGGAGAATAAAATTCCAGATCGGCAGAGCAAAAACATATACTATCATCCACACAATATACATGATTCTGCGTGAAGAAAGCACAATCAAAAATGACGGCAGGAAGAACATTATCGCAACAAAAATTAATGGTAGTACAACGTTCTGTCCCAATGCTAAACAAACTATTAAATAGATCAGGAAAAGGAAAGAGGATGGCATCACTACTGATCCAATCAATTCGAGAAAGATGACAAATTGCATAGAGCAACAGAAAATGCCACACAATTGAGGGACAAGGATAAGCTCCATGAGATTGTGAACGGTTGAATTGATCCAACGACGCCTCTGAGAAAGTAAAACCTTAAACTCGTCGGGCACGACGGTCTTGCAAATGGCTTTCGGTACATAGATCATCTTGCGCTTGGGGAACGTTCGTAACATCAGTGTGGTCAAATAACGATCTTCTCCGAGAAGTAGCAGATTCTTCTGATGCAACGTTTCCACAGTGTTGGATGAGTACGCTTCCACAATGTCTGGGTTGGCAAGGATTGGCACAAAGTAGTTTTCAAATTTAGGTGCTTTGATTCGATACATGCAGAAACATCCTGGTAAACAGGTGACACCACCAAATATGGATTCAAACGCCTTTCCAAGATGATGGGAGATGTAATATTCGAATACCTGCAAGCCAATAATGTTATGCGTACATATTATTCGTAAGTATTTGATTTACCAACCCAACAAAAAGATTATTACCACCGACGATAGATTTTTTTTCTCTTTACCTGAACCATAGTAACCCAACTCTCTGATTTGTTTGCTATCTTAGTCTCACCACATAATCCCATGACTTTAGGGTCACGTTCCATGGCAGCAACCATACGACTGACACTATCTGGTTTCACGAGGGTATCGGCGTCAACCATCAGTACCATTTCATACTTGTCAGGAGTCACTCCGGTCAGACGATGAACCTTTTCGAACAGGTCGTATTCCAAGGGACACATATTCTCGTTGAAACATATGTGACTGAGCCATCTCATTAAAATCAGTTGGGAATCACGTTTACCACGATTCCCTGCTTTTGGTCCTTTGCGTTCTTCGGGAGTGCCGTATTTGACAATCACAATCATTGGCACACGGTGATCAGCGACGTTGTAATATCCGGTGTATACTTGTGCCATGTTATGTTGTTTCTTCCCATCACCGATTGCAATATAGGATTGTGGCTCTGGCGGGGGTGCATCTGGAAATTGCTTTTCGAGTAAATCAATGCAAATTTGTGGAGTTGATCGATCGTTTTCCGAGCCGGTAATATCGCCATCAGCAATGACAAATAGTAGTTTATGCTCGTCGGAATACGTCGACTTTGCCAATGAATCTAAAGTGGCTCTCATCGATTGTTCGCCCTCAGAATAACAAGTAACTAGAAGCAGAATGTTACTGATAGCGTCGTTTGGTTTAGGCTTTTTGGATATCTTACCCAATTGCCAAGATAAGAACCAGTCGAATGCCATTGCAGAAACGAATTTTATTATCGTTATCCCTGTGAATACTCCAATCATCAGAGCCAAGACTAAATTGGTAGCAAAGCAGCCGATGGTCGTTCCATCTATCAGTCCTACTTTGAAATGTTCCAAACATTTGGCTATATTTGTTGTATTTCTAGCGTGAACGATATCTTTTGTTGCGTCTCGACCGATAAGGCCTCTTATCCATGCGGTGACTACATCATCACCTAGCCAAAAATCCGTATTCTGTGGACTTAGATAATCGGTCATATCATATACGTTTTCATTGTATACAAAAAGATCACGTGTACCACTTGTTATATTATTCCAAGTGAATCCGACAAAAGTGTTTGTAAATAGACTCCTAAGAACGAGCTGGGACGCTCTTGAGGTATGACAATGGTATCTCTTATCCGTAAGTCCTTGCGTACATATTTGTCCATTATTTTGAGGTGCGTTACATCCCATACTTGCATAATCGAGAGGGAAAAACCCGGAAATGTCACTGCCAAATAATTGTGATATTATTGGATTCAAGTCGTCATCGTTGAACGGAGCAATTGGCCTGTGACTGCCAGTTAGAAAGTATACGCCAGTGTTATATAATCGGCCGCGCACAATGTGGACCTTTTCGCCAGGGGCGTTTGGTCCAAACAAACGTAAAATGTCTTGTTCATATAATGGAACTTTTTTCCGACATGCAAGCGTTGATAGACCAAACGTCAGGAATCCCATGAATGCTGAAATCAGTAGTATGATAACACATAGTGCAACCTTTTCTCTCCAAGCCTGACGAACGTTCGGATCTTTCATTTTAGCGATACCAGACAAACATATGTTACAGAAACAACCGGTAGTTATGAGTGAGAATATGACCCAGGGTGAGTTATCTTCTCGAGGCTTCATATCCTGTTTCGGACGCGGTATTGGTCTAGATTCTCCGGGAAATCCGTTCGGGTCTGCTCTTTGGTATGCAGCTTGACGGGCTGCATTCTTTGGTCGTAATGCAACTCGCCGTGTGTTTGTTGCCTCGAGTGGCATAAAAACACCGCGTGGTGCGTACATGTCATCTTGAATTGGCATTCCCGGCGGTGGGAACTGCTGTTGTTGATCGTAAGGAGGACCTGCGGGTGCTGATTGTGGCATCATTGGCGTTGCCATTGGGTTCATGACTGGAGGTGCTGGTGGACGTGACTGAACCGGAATATAGTTATCTATAAGGTGTGCTACTGCGTCGTGACCGGCTGAGAGTGCAATTGATGATGCTGTTTTGCCATTTCTTGTAGTTATAGTCCTGTCCGCATTGTGATCGAGCAAAAGACGGCACACGTCGATGGAACCTCCGTATGCTGCAAGCATAAGCGCAGACCATCCTTCCTAAATGTGACAAGAATGTTAATTACGTGTATAGTTTTTATGAAATACTCGATTCAAGCAGTATTGAAATAAATACCTGATCTACTGTGTTTACGCTTGCTCTTCTTGATAGTAATACGTTTACGACATCATAGTGGCCTTCAACTGCTGCGAGTGCTAGAGCTGTCTTTTGTGTATAGTCTTGAGAATTGACATCTGCCCGGCCACGGTCCAATAGTATGCTGCATACTCTTGCATGGCCGTTGTATGCGGCAACGATTAGAGGAGTTGAACCGGCTTCCTGTGAAGAAAAGAATATTTCGCATTAATAACGATATAGCTCCGACGACTCGGTAAATATACTAAAATTGTGGCACAAATGTAGTACGACCCGAGTACTATGCCTTATTCGGAAAACATAATGGTAGATCTTTCCATCTCTCGGATAATCCTCGCTGCTTGATTTCCATAAAATCGCATTACCTTGTTTTTGGATTCGACGTCTGCCCCAGCACCAATTAAGATATCAACAATTTCAGCGTTTCCCGCCAACGATGCTTGATAGAGAGCAGACTCGCCGTCAATATCTGAATATATCAAACTGCAATTAGTCTACAGATACTGCAACGATAAGCAGAGGGAGTAATAGTAGTGACGGGGAACAAACTTTAACCTTTCAAGTTAACGTTCAAAGTTCTGAGAGATACCAAGAATCTGACAACGTCTGGTGAATTATAAAAAGCAGCGGCCATCAGCGGTGTCCTGCCATCTCTATCTCTCAGCATGTTTAAATCGAAATTCGTCTGGGACAGCAATGCTCTCAAATGACCAACGTCATTGTTAGTGATAGCGATGAAGATTGCAGTCGAAGGATTAACGGGAGCGCCATGAGCAGGTGGTGGTGTTCGAGTACTTATTGAAGAAGTAAGTGCGGGTGAGTATGGTGGTTGATAGGGTTCGTAGTTGTTGTTGTTGTTGTATGCCATATGTTGTGAGTATACAACTGGCAGAAAATCTTTCCGCTATTACTATTACGAGGGGGAGGAGGGGAGGGGAGGGCAGGGAGATTACTAAAATTCCAACTTTTTATGTCTAATGGTATACGAGTGCTAAATAAGGGATATTACAAGGGGTTTTTTAAGGAAGTTCAGAAGAGAAAGAGAGAATGTTTGTAAACTTTTAGGATTGAATGGTGATGGGTCTGCCTGCAGAAGAGGGGAGAGCAGTCAACTACAGGCTGTAATCTCTGCAGACCCCGAGTCGGAAGTAGAGGAAGGGAGATTAGAGCGACTCGTCGGAAAGGGAAAGATTGAGAAGAAGGGAAGGAAGAGCGAATTAAAAGAGTATAAGAAATAAAAAGGAGAAAAGAATGTTCACATTTGAATTTAACAATGTGATACAAGGGGCAGACTAATAATGAAAGGTTACCTTTTTTGTCTACCCGTTTTAGAGTATTAGCGTTACCCTAAATTAGTATTAAAAGATATTATTATCCAACTATAATTAAAGAAAATAATGCACCAAATGAGGATTCTTAATACATACTTTTGTGTAATCGTCTAGTGTGTTTCATGCTTGAGCATTTACAGCATTTACGGGAGTGCAAAACTTGCAAAGTCAACTTGGACCCTAATCTGCGCTTGCTTTTTCATCGATGTCTCCCTTGTTCTTTCCCCAGTGTAAATGTTCCCGATTTCCCGATGATTCCAAATTTCCAATTTTATACTAGACTATCTCGAGATATGTTTTAATCTTGCGTGTGTTTATTTCCATATATGTGATTATCAACCATTTTCATACTGACACACGCTGCTGCCAGACGTCATCGGCACCTTACTATTGTTACAATCCCGAGAATGTTAACACCTTATTTCTGATGCACGTGATACATATTTACTTATAAATGGAAGGTGCGTTTTTGACTTGACAGTTGTCTGGTACGAATTTCTACTCTTTAAAACTAAGTCTTAGCGGTTTAAAAAAGACTCTACTTTAATTCGAACGGGGTAATTATCAAGCTGATTAAGAAAACTAGATATTCGGTCATCTTTAGTATTGCGGGTTCAATGTTACTGGTTGATATTCGTTTATTATACGCAATTGAATTTGAATTGCGAGAGGGAAAGATGCCGATATGCTGTTTGATCATACTACTGCTGCTGAATTTATCGTTTATTAAAACTGATAGTTATATAACCCATAATTTCAATAAATAATATAAATACAATGCATAGCGATATAGTTAAACGAGTGAACCGCACAGATCGATAATCTCATTGGTTTCTTTCTCTGTGTTGAGCGCAATATAATTTCGAGTAGATTGCATACTAAATGACTTCACACATCGAGCTTTGTGTTATCCTGTTCACTATTCCGAACATTAACGATAGCCCAACTTTTGCATAGATGCCATCAACGCCAAATAATTTGCTAACTTATCGCCTTTGCGCATACAAACTCAATTCCCCATTGGAGATTTTTGTTGATATATAAAAGTCCAATCGTCTTGAAGTGTCAAATATCGCACCAGCATTATCGCAGTGGTTCTAGTTCCTGGTTATCCTTATTTTTAATAATAACACAACTCACAAAGGATAAAAGTTTGCATGCGTTCGATAAAGCTATGTATTAATTGAACAAGATTTTTATATGATGGCGATAGTGTATGGTGTGTGCGGTATACAATGTTTGCTAACGCCAGTAAGTCGAAAGACTCCAATATTTGAATAATAGTCTGTCTTGGCTAAAATTTAATTAGTAGCTGATAATAATAATGGTTATCCGAAACGCGTGACGAGCTAAATAGGCATTTTTCTTTGATACTTGATTGCGTTAAACGTAATTATAACGTCTATATTAATATAAAATCTTTCAGACATTAAATAGAACGCAATTTAGTGTCGAAAATGTCAAATATGTGAAAAAAAAATACTCTTTAAATTTTATGTCAATGCTTAGATACATATGTATAATAAAAATGTGGGCTTTAATAGCACGATATCAGACGTAGTTTACTTTGCGATCAGTATATTTTTGAATAATTACTTCACAAAGAGGAAGACGCCTTCAAGATGGTTTCCAATTCAGTGATGAACGAATAAACATATTGATTCCTACTCAAAAAAGTAGATGACGAAAAGTCATAAATCTTATAATTTTAGAGAAGGTTCAGAAGAAAAAATTAGTTCAACGACTTTTACGAGACATACCTAGAGAAAAGGACGTATAATTACCGATTAGGAACTATAAGTTTAGATCCTTTTTTCTACAACTTCCTTTGGGAATACTGGATTTACTATAACGTTATAATGTCTCGACTCGAAGTTCAGGTTTTCACTGTCTTTAACAATCGGCGGAGAAAATCTGAATATTTTTATAATCTTAAGACTGGAAATCGTTCTGGCAATAAAACTGTTTGTCAAACACTTACTGCACTAACGTCCTGTCAGCCCTGACAATTGTGAATAACGTTCTCATTGTTTGTATTAATTCATATTATAATTTTGCGCTTTCGATTAAACCCTCTTTCTCCCCTCCCGAAATACTGTATATAGTCTGTCTCTTATTGATCGTTCAATTCATTCTTGTAGCTGTATTGGAAAAATTTTGCGTGATCAGTATAATACCTACCGTTTTCACGCGTTGAACAAGGACAAGCGCCGGCTCTCAGTGACTCAATACGTTCGCCAGCACCTCGCTCTAGTACATTGAAAGCAAAGAACTTGTACGTGTATTTCAATCACTCCTTGTCAGAAGGCGTAGAAACGCTCCAAAAAACGCTGGGGGCGCTAAGTAACGATTCTCAGTTGGGTGATCCAGCAAGAAGATGCTTGAAACGAGACGATTTCTTCGAGAATGATAGTGTAAAACCTTATTTGGAGCGAAAAAAGAGAAAGATTGAAGAGAAGATAGGTGTGGAGGTAACACTACATATGGCAAACAAAATCCTGGGTATCGCAAAAGAAATTGCCTACCAAAAGTCTCTTGATTGTCTAAAGAAATGGCAGAGAAAGTAATTCTGTCAGATGAAGAGGAAGGAGAAGAAGAAGAAGACACTGTACAGTCTGAGGTCGAATATGAATTCCCACAAGATAAACGCTCATCAAACACGATTTCTGTTGAAGTTGAAAGTTACCGCAATAAAAGGTTGCCACGCTATCTTGATGAACTTCTTATACATGCTGAATACTCATGTATGGACCAGGACTGGATGTAATAGCAAGAACTTGACGAAAATTAGGTTTGTCCCAAAATTTTATGACAATAAGTGTTGATGGGCTCTATCTAACTCATTTCTATATAGTCTAATTAGACGCGGCCACTTCAACTTTTCAGATATGGATTGCATGCACAGATAAGTGATGAGCATTGGGAAAAGATCTTAATTCTATTTTGAAACGACACGACTTGAAAAACGCGCTTTCCATAGAAAAGGATGAAAATCTGGTAGAAATGTTTGGAAAGGGAAATAAAGAGAAGCTCTTAACACATGGCAACTTAAATTTGGTAGACGGCTTGTGCAATACTGAAGAGGACAGCACAAAAGTCCTTGAAATAGTAAAGCGAATACGGCTGGTTTCATACCCTAATTGTCAGATTATTAGAGGCGAACTGGGCAACGTCTATTCTTTCTGACATCTTGGATGAGACGTTTTGTGGGCAGCTGAGCTTATAAAATGAGTGTAAGTGTTATCATGGTTATCTTTATCTTATCTCATAATAACAATTTCACTTGGCTTCTCCGAAAACCAACTCACTTCCTTGGATGTTTCGGGCTGTTCGGCTTCTTATAGGGTTGTGCAATGGCAAGACGGTACCTTTCTTCAGGAAATAAAAGAACCATGGGTAAAAACGCAGCTTACGTCACGGATTTTTGCACCAATTATTTCGGCAAACCTGGTGAAACCGAGTCAGATGCAGAAAAAATCGTTGCCGATTATAACAAATCTTTATTTTCACCAGAAAGATTCGCGTGGATGGGCTTGATGATACTGAAGAATTTGAGAATGTGTGGGTTGAGTTGAAGGGTGGTGTTGGCACTCGGCACGAATCCGAAAACAGCAACAATCGTGAGGATCTAGATGTGTTGCTAAAAGGCTTCTCGGTAATGTCTGCAGTGCAGGCTCTAACAATGCCCAGAAGAAGCAAAGAAGAGGATCTGTGAATTAGAATTCTTTGGCGTAAGAGGGATCGAAAATCACTTCCAATTCTGGAGCTGCATCCAGACCTATGTGCTCATACCTGTTAGGAGAGTTTCATTTACCATCATTTGAGGGGAGAGGAGGTATTGGTTTACAGGAACTGTTATACGCGATACGCGTTGTTTATTCGTTCAAGGCAAGCATTTGTTTTATTCAATGAGTTGTTCAAGTTTTATTAGCAATATTTACCAATTTACAGACACGAGTGGAAGCTAGTAAATTGGCATTTCATCAAATAAGGTCTTCGGTAAGAGGTAAGAGGATTTCTAATGTTGACTCTTTGTCAATCAAGGCCATGTTTTCCTCCACAAAGTGTTATTATTGTCATAACATGCTTTTCTCGCAGACCCTGTATTGAATTGTCATGGGCCGTCTTTTTAGATTTTATGTTGATTGCGTTTGCATTCGATGTTCTAGATCAAGTCTCTTTAGGTTTTTGCATTTAATACTTGTGTTCACGTTCGACGTTGCAGACTAAGACCCTTTAGATTTTCACGACGAATGTTTGCGTGCGTGCAGAACATACCGTCGTGGAATGGGCCGCTGTGATCTCGGGCATTAAGTGGCATATTTTGATAGTTGTCAGCTCCGTCGTTGCAGACTAAATTTCCTCAACGAATGTTGTTTGTGACATACCGTTTTGGGTTGCTGTGATCCCGGAGACTACCTATCGCTGTAATTTTATAAATATTCGAATTACTAAAGCATTTATTCATTTAACCAGTGGTTTTTTTCCGGGCATTTACGCGTCCTATGTAAAGACTCTGATGCCAGCGTGTCATATTATAAGAAAAAACGAGTATCTTTATTATGCTATATTTGGTACAAAACGTAGACCGCACGCTACGGCAAACTTTCAAAATATATAACCGCGATGTTTTAGATTTCTCTTTTGTTGGAATTCGATCCGATGATTTGTTACATTCTTATAATTCCTGGTCTACAAAAGATACAACGACATGGTCGCAAAACTTGTACAAGAGTTACACAAAGAGTAACCGTCTACGCGTCCGACAGTACCGTCGTCGCCACAAAAAAGATTACAAGAGGCAAGAGAAAGGTCATATAAGAAGTGTCAGCAGGGAGTATTGTTGCGTCTATAATTAGTTAGTTCTAACTTTATATTTCTTATTTGTTAATGTACTGTGCGTACACTCCTCCGCATAAAAAAATACGTATAGGAAAAAAAAGCACCTGACAAAACGTTTACAGAATTCGTTATATATATACCCACATTTTTCTTGACATAAACTTTTGAATAAAAAACGGGTTGGATTTGAAAGTAATACCATATCTATATTATCTGTGTCGTAATTGGTGTAGCGATATTAATATTGTAATTTCGAAATTTTAATTTTCGATGTAGCGTAATCGAAATATCGCTGTAACTATATGGTAATCGTTTGATAATAACAAAGATGTAATAATCTCGATGGGTCGTGAAGCCATTCTACGCTATGATAGTCAATGGTTAGATAATGATAATGAAAATGTTACATCTCAGTTGGGACCGTCTCAGTGAATTTGTAAATAAAACAAATAAATGGTTTAACTCAAACATTGAAGTACGTACGTATCTTTTCTTTGCACAAGTAGTCTATAACAGTGATAATCAATTAAAACCGTTCTGTGTCAAAACTGTCACCTATAAACTCGAAACAATAACGTTGATGTCTGACTTGGTATATTGCAGTATTGTTGTACGTAAAACAAGTGTAACATGGGTTGATCATTTTTCTGTAACAAATACATTAAGTAAATTACGTGAATTGCATTTAAAGAAATAAGTCCACTAGACTACGAACGGGAATTCGCAAATCCCGTGCATTGCAGAAAATGGAAGGTTGTATTTAGGGAGGTGGGAAAAAGCATTATGTCGTTAAGACCCTAAATATGTACTCAATAATAGGTAGTTAACAAGACTCGTTTATGACCAATAATTTGTTTTTTGATTTATTTTTCGTTTTGCCGGCGCATCTTTTTTGAAAAACAGTATAAGTTAAGTTATCCAACTATTAATGAACAAAGTTGCTTTTTTTATTACATTGTTGGAATTCTGTGCCCTACCACTAAAAACTGGCACATTGAGAATTCAGAAAAAGGATTTGGGAATTCTATTTTTAAACGTGTCTTACATTTGCATATACGTATACTAATTACTATTATTGATAAGCGTTACGCTACACTGCCCAAGTGCTGAAACTTGGCAAAAGGCTCAGTTATGCTCTTATCGCGTATTACTTTAGCATGACAATGAAGATAAAAGTATTAGATTATAAAACGTCCCTCGTCCTGGGAAAATGTATGGACGTACAGTAATAGGTAAATAAGAAGCGACTTGACAAACAATGGTAATACTAATATGCGTGAAACGATGTACCTGCGGATGTGCTATGTAACACAAGTATTGAAGAACGAACATTTGTTCAACTTGAAAAGAATTCTTTTAATTCAACCTGTTACTATGTCGTTGGCATCAGAAACTGTTAATAACCCAGCAATTGACAACTTGGTTAAATCCTGTTATGAGGATAAACTTGCATGGATACCTTTCGAGGAAATCATCAACGTTAAACCAACTCAAATTGACAACGTTTACTGCGCTATTCGCAAGCACTCTTATGTTGGGACGATAACGCTAGTATTACTTGGAAGTAATGAAGAATGCACAGCAACACTTGTGAGTGAGTTTGCTAGAACATACTCACTACCAACACAAAAGTACAAGAGCAATGACAATAACTTTAGAAGATACTCCGTATGGCTTGAACATCGCAACAACCTCATTATTGGATTCACCAAGTCTAATGACGATAACTATTACATGGTTGAACCTTCGTCAAAAACCACACACCAGTCGTCAAATTGTATGATTAGCACAAACTTGTTTGATAACTCAACTCATCAAGCAATAAATGCATCATAACAATGGCGATAGTGAACAGTTCATTGATTCTGCTTATCGCTTAAACCAAATCATCTACAAGAGTTGGTAGTAGCTACCACTAAATCGAAAAGCGCAGAGCTGTTAATTTTCACGCGATCTGTCCGTATTATACGTTAATTAATAATTATGTTCTGTTTATATCTGATGATGTTATAACTCCGCCCTTATCACACCACTTTGGAATTTCAAATTTTACAACCTATTGATTATGGCAAATGTCATTACGTCACTTTGTTGATCACACCGCTGAAATTTTATCTTATGTTACATTAGCGCTTTTTAATGGGTCAAATCACGTCACTAGGGCGTCGTTTGTGACGATGTATATCTAAGGGTCGATTTTAGCATAAGGCCAGGCTCTGTGAACCATCGTTCTTGTGCTAGGTAAGGTGGACAAATTTTCCAACTGTTCAATCTTTTTTTTTTCAGTTTTCTGGTTGAATCGTGCTTAGCAATGTGGTACTTGAATCTGTGAGATGCATCTGGCATCATAATTTGCCCCGTGTTCTTCACCATTGCAAAATCATTCCCCTGTGGTAAATCAGCCTTCGATTTGTTGACTGTCTATTTTCAGTAAGGGTAACCGGGTTCTCCATGGTTCTCCATTGTCGTAATATTCGTACATTGCATTGCTGCTAGGATTAAACTCTGGATATCGTCAAATCGCCACCAGATCGTCATATGCAGCAGTCGCTGGTAATAAGTGTAAATTTAGTTATAAAACGTACAATATTAAATATAAGTAAATACATACATATCATACGCTTTGTCACCCGGGACCGTACTGCCCTCGAACATATTTGGACAACGACGTTTTAATACAACACACTCGCAATTTTATTCTCAGCTTTATACTCCACTTCTTGGAAAAAGCTTAAACTAGACCGCATAGTTTCTCACAGTTATCAACATGGCAATCATCGCTACTACTAATAAATGTCAAAATGTTATATAGAAGGTTTTAATCATACAGTGTTAGTATCGATATCTTTCATCCTCATCCTAGTCAATAGTTTGTTCTCATCTATTATTAGAGTCATCCCATCATCATCACCATGCATAGCAATGTCGAAATGGTCGCCGAATTTGTCATAAAAATTGTCTTCCAAAACGTTGGCGAGTCGAAGAATATATTGTAACCTGTTACGTAGGCTATTGGGTTGTCATTTGCTTTTCGACAAATCTTGGCATATTCATAGCGTACAAATTTTTTGCGGAAGATGGCTATATGAATGCACAAAGACAACACCAAACTCGCTCGTTAACATTATCCAGCCTATTTGACAATCAACATTGTCTTTTCCCACACGACTGTATAGATTCTACCAAATAAAATAAATATTTTCATTGAGAAGAATGGTTATGTGCTCGCGTGTAAAGTGACACCCACCAAACTCGTTTTCAAATTTTATCTAGCCTATTTTGACAATCAAAATTGTCTTTTCCCACACGGCCGTATAGTCAACAACGCGTGGACCCAATAAATACATACAGTCGACCTCCCTTATAACAAAATGCGTTATAACGAATTTTTGTTATACCGAAGCAAGTGTTACTTCCCCTTTTCTTAATATTTAAATTTGATCGTTATTACGAATTTAATAGTAAACCTCGTTATTCCATCGGTTGCGGGATTTTACCAGTCAAAGTTTATCACGTGATAAGAATTTAGCATGGTGATTGGTTGTAGCAATTATAAAAATTGATCAGATTATAAAGATTCATTAGTGTTAGCAGAATATATATTATGATGAAGGGGTCATAACAACGATATGGTGGCAGATGAGGAGATTGTTACTCTATTTTTTCCTACAGAAGAAGAAGACGATAATGAAAGTAATTTGCCATATCTTCCTACTATCTTGACTAAAGATGCCATAACCGCGTTTGAACGGCGTTTAATTTTTCTTCAACATGGCAATACGGAAATAGATTATAATAAGTTCAAAGTATTTTGTTCATTGAAAAGGAAGGTGAAATTACATAATGTTACAAGCAAAAAGCAATCTATAATAG